AAGTGTTATATGTAAAACCATAAAAACCCTAGAAGAAAACCTAGGCAATACCATTCAGGACATAAGCATGGGCAAGGACTTCATGACTAAAACACCAAAAGCAACGGCAACAAAAGTCAAAATAGACAAATGGGATCTCATTAAACTAAAGAGCTTCTGCACAGCAAAAGAAACTACCATGAGAGTGAACAGGCAATCTAGAGGATGGGAGAAAATTTTTGCAATCTACCCGTCTGGGAAAGGGTTAATATCCAGAATCTACAGAGAAATTAAACAAATTTACAAGAAAAAAAATCAAACAAGCCAATCAAAAAGTGGGCAAAGGATATGAACAGACACTTTTCAAAACAAGATATGTATACAGCCAACAGACACATGAAAAAATGCTCATCATCACTGGTCATAGAGAAATGCAAATCAAAACCACAATGAGATACTATCTCACACCAGTTAGAATGGTGATCATTAAAAAGTTAGGAAACAACAGGTGCTGGAGAGGATGTGGAGAAATAGGAACGCTTTTACACTGTTGGTGGGAGTGTAAACTAGTTCAACCATTGTGGAAGACAGTGTGATGATTCCTCAAGGACCTAAAACCAGAAATGCCGTTTGACCCAGCGATCCCATTACTGGGTATATACCCAAAGGATTATAAATCATGTGACTATAAAGACACTTGCACATGTATGTTTATTGCGGCACTATCCACAATAGCAAAGACTTGGAACCAACCCAAATGTCCATCAATGATAGACTGGATTAAGAAAATGTGGAATATATATACACCATGGAATACTACGTGGCCATAAAAAAAGATGAGTTCACGTCCTTTGTCGGGACATGGATGAAGCTGGAAACCATCATTCTCAGCAAACTATCGCAAGAATAGAAAACCAAACACCGCATGTTCTCACTCATAGGTGGGAACTGAACAATGAGAAAACTTGGACACAGGGTGGGGAACATCACATACCAGGGCCTGTCTTGGGGTTGGGGGATAGGGGAGGGATGGCATTAGGAGAAATACGTAATGTAAATGATGAGTTAATGGGTGCAGCACACCAACATGGCATAAGTATACATATGTAACAAACCTGCACGTTGTGCACATGTACCCTAGAACTTAAAGTATAATAATAATAAAAAAAAGATATAGTAACCAACTATTCACAATAATAAAGACATGGAATCTATCCAAATGCCCATCAGTGGTAGACTGGATAAAGAAAATGTTGTACATATACACCATGGAATACTATTGAACCATAAAAAGGAATGAGATCATATCCTTTGTAGAGACATAGACGGAGCTGGAAGCTGTTATCCTCAGCAAACCAACGCAGGGACAGAAAACCAAACACCACATATTCTCACCTGAATGAGCTGAAAGATGAGACCACGTGGACACATGATGGGCCTGTTGGGGTGGGGTGTTGCAGGAGGGAGAGCATCAGGAAGAATAGCTAATGCATGCTGGGCTTAATACCTAGGTGATGGGATGATCTGTGAAGCAAACCACCATGGCACACATTTACCTACTTAAGAAATCTGCATAGTCTGCACATGTACCCTGGAACTTACAACAACAGTTAAAGATTAAAAAAAAAAAAAAAAAGCTATAGTAATCAAATTAGCATAGAACTGGCAAGAAAACAGACACATAGACCAATGAAACAGAATAGAGAACCCAGATATAAATCAATGTGTTGACAACCAGTTCATCTTCAACAACAGTACCAAGAGCATACAATGGGAAAATGAGAGTCTATTTAATAAATGGTGCTGGGAAAACTGGGTAATTACATGTAGAAGGATGAAACTAAACCTCTATATCTCACCATACACAAAAATACAATTAAAATGGATTAAAGGTTTGAATCTAAGGCCTGCAACTATGACTACGAAATGATTAGATGAAAACTTCAGGAAAGTGTTCCAGGACATTAGTCTGAGAAACAATATTTTGTGTAAGACCTCTAAAGCACAGGCAACCAAGAAAGAATAGACAAATGGGATTGAATCAGGCTAAAAAGCTTCTGCACAGCAAAGTAAACACTCAACAATGATTTAAGGTCCTGTATGGGGGATTTGTTAAAGTAGAATCAAAATGGAGGACACATTATATCCCTAGGTCAACCACTCATAGCCACATAACCAAAATTTAAGCTATCCTGATTTCCCTGAAATGCAATTTCTAAACATTAACAAAAGTTAAGCTTTCCTTTCTTGTTAGTATGATGAAATTGAACCAAACTGTTAGAGAAAACTAAGCTTATACAGCTCTACTTGCCCAAAAAGGAATGTAAGTTTTTAATAGCCAGCCACAATAGAGGTCAATGCACTTCCTCACTGATGCTTTATAAGCTGCACTGTGACTCTCATGTCAAGTTTCTTACTACTTTTGATTTGAAGTCTTCCGGTTTGTGAACTATTCTTTTGTATGTATAATAAATCTTCATACTCCTTTTTTACTTGACCTGACTTTATTTTTACGGGTTCCTCCATGGCATTTGGGTTTCTCACAGTGTGGCAGTCTAAGGGTAATACAGTAGTACTTTTTACCAGGGAACTGTCTTCTGTGAGCAAGGTCTCCAAGAGAAAGGAAGTGGAAGCTCTTGTGGTCTGGAACAGAAAGCCCACACAATCTCTCTCTCTCTCTCTCTTTTTTTTTTTTGAGACAGAGTCTTGCTCTGTTGCCCTGGCTGGAGTGCAGTGGTGTGATCTTGGCTCACCGCAAGGTCTGCCTCCTGGATTCAATCAATTCTTCTGCCTTAGCTTCCCAAGTAGCTGGGATTACAGGCATGCGCCACCATGCCCAGCTAATTTTATTTTGCATTTTTAGTAGAGACAGGGTTTCACCATATTGGCCAGGCTGGTCTTGAGCTCCTGACCTTGTGATCCACCTGCATCAGCCTCCCAAAGTGCTGGAATTACAGGCCTGAGCCACCACACCCAGCCAGCCCACACAATATCTCTTCAGCAATATTCAGTAGGTTAGGGGAGTCACAGAGCTCACCTAACTCAAGGGGAGAAAACAAAGGACCCTTATTCCCCTTTTATACACTTTATGATGATGGGAGTGTCAAAGTGCTTGTTGCAATATTTATTTCACCAAGGAGGGAAAGGTCAATTTGGACCAGAAAGGTCAGAAAAAGTTATATAGGGAAGGTAGTTGATAAGCTGGTTTTAAAGGATATGGAGCATTTGAAAAAGTGGAGTGCGGATAAGGCTGGAAATATCAAATATCTAAATATAGAACAGGAACAATGATGAAAAGACTTTTAAAATGCTTAGCAAAATGAGAATTATATTTCTTTCTCAACTTTTTTGTTCTAACAGCAAAAGCAACAGTGGGGCTCAGCATCAACCTGGGCAAGTAAGTTTTTCTGGTCATAAATATGCTGATTCGACTGAAAAAATGTTTCTTTAAGTAAGTTCAGCTCATTAGAAGAAGGGTGAATTTGTGTCTAAGGATTTTAAGAGACTAACTGGGAAAAGTCAGTCAGAGTTTAGTTTGAGGTGAGAAGTGCTTACTGTTGACACTCTACCTAATTATAGGGAAATGTGTTCAGTTAGTCCTGAGACCAGATGCAGGGTAGAAAGAAAGAGGCGTGATGTAGTTGCCATTGATTAGGCAATTTGGGTTTAGCAAGTCCTGTCAATGCCCTGAGAGGGTCAACAGTGTAATAAGACTTAGTCCTTGAAGGCATCTTTTAAAATTTCATTCAAAAGATTTTAATCATTGTGACCATAACTTTCTGAGAAGAGGCTTTTCTGAGATTTGTCATTCACTGATAAACAGTTGTCTAATTTGTGTGTGTGTGTGTGTGTACATGTGTGCATGCATGCATTTGTGCATGTGTTCCTATCCAGCCTCTTTTGAACACAATGACTGGCACCTGGTAGATGATATTGTTGAATGAATTGTATTATTCATATTCTCTCACTGCCAATTTGAAGAATCTACATTGTTTCCAAAGTTTTGCGCATATAATACTAGACCAGAAACGGACATGTTTTATTAATACGTACCAATTAAAAATTAACCATTCCTGCCTGGAGTAAGCATAGGTTTTGTTAAATAGTTCTATTTTCAAAATCTGTCTCTTACGTTATTTCCAATCCTTTTTTTTTTTTTTTTTGACGCTGATATACTTTGAATTTACGAACGTGAAAGCTGAACTTCAAAAAATACAGGGAGAGGAAACAAAGCTCGTGAAAAATCTATAAAATATCTTTTAATGTGTTATAACATCCCAGAGAGAAATCAAATCAATGTGTTTCAATGTCATAACATAGATTTCTCCTTCCCTCCTGGATAAAGCACTAATTAGTTGTTTTATTTAATTTGGTTCAGAGCACTGAAAATTTCAAACTACAGCCTTGTGGGTAAGAGATAGCATTATCTTAAACAGTGTTCAGATTTAACAAAGGTCAACGTCTTGTGCAGTTTACATAGTATCTACTCTCAGTAGCTTTTGCTTCTTGAGCTCTAGGTGGCTCCTCAGAAGCTGTTAGGCTTAACAAACAAAAATAAAGTAAAATCAGACACGGTATGGGGCCTTGGGACTCTGAAACCTTCACCCAGAGAAAACCAGTGAAGCCTTCAGAGGCTAGAAGAGAGGGTGTGTGTGATTGGTAGGCAAAGCAAAGAAAGATTAGTACAAGTTGTCTGGCAGCTGGATAGAACCTTTACACCTGCAGCAAAAACAAGCCTCCCTCATAAGAAAGTCCAAAGATGTCCGGGGTCGGGGAGGAGAAAAGTCTTCTATACTCTCATGTGTCCCATCAAAGCAAATTAGTGAAACCTGCCTCAGGTGAAGTGCAAAGGCCAGCCTGCAGGGAGAGTTTCAACCTCTCCCCAGCAGATGGGCTAGACACAACCTGCCCAAGCTCTCTCCCGACCTGGACCTGCTAGAGCCGAGAGGGCGGAGGCCAGAGAGGCTGCAGCCGGGAAGTAGCACCGCACATCCGGGAACGCCAGCAGCCGGCTGAGGGCTGCATAATTGGTGGAGGGCCGGGCGCGGTGAGAGCGTCTCGGGGGAGTAGGGCAAGGCGGCCGGGCCCCTCCCATTCCGCCTTTTCTTCAGCGTCCTGCCGCCGGCACTGACTGCGGGCGCCTGGCCACAGGCGAGTGTGCGCAGGGACTCCGGACACCCGCGGCAGCGAGCTGAGAGAGCAGTCTCCACGAGGACCGAGGCGGACCCTCCGGCGCCATGCGCGCCCTCCCCGGCCTGCTGGCGGCCAGGGCGCCTACACCCCGATTGCTCCTCCTCCTCCAGTGCCTTCTCGCCACCGCGCGCCCAAGCTCGGCGGACGGCAGTGCCCCAGGTGTGATGGCTACAGGGGCCAGGGTAGGGAGGGCGGAGGGCGCGCAGGAAGGGGCGCGCGAGGCTTGGGTCCCCGCGGGCAGAGGGCATCGCCGGCGCGCCGGGCAAGGGTGGCGGGGAGAGGCGCCGGGATGCTGGTAAGGGTGGGTGGCGATTGGCGGCGGCGGCCTCCCATTGGCTACGTTTGTGTCACCTAAGCTGAACCCTGGAACTGGGGCGGCTCGCGCTCCTGCGCTCTTTGGGGAGAGATTGAACAAACAGCGCCCCACAATTCGGGGGCGTAGGTAACGGGGGAGAGTGTGGTTTTTCCTAGGAAGAGGTCAGTGGGGTGTGTAGGTGGATGCAGGGACCAGCTAGCGACTTGGCTTGTGCAAATGTGGAATGAATTTTGAAAGCCACATTTTCCCAAGGCCTACTCCCTTTTCTTGATTCCAGAGTAAAGCTCCCCCTTACCTCCTTCCCTCCTCTTGGCAGGTGGGTTGGCTTTGAGGAATTTTTTTTTTTTTTTTTTGAGACAGTTTTGCTCTTGTTGCCCAGGCTGGAGTGCAGTGGCGTGATCTCGGCTCACCGCAACCTCCGCCTCCCGGGTTCAAGCGATTCTCCTCTCTCAGCCTCCAGAATAGCTGCGATTACAGGCATGCGCCAGCCACCACGCCAGACTAATTTTATATTTTTAGTAGAGACGGGGTTTCTCCACATTGGTCAGTCTGGTCTCAAACTCACACCCTCAGGTGATCTGCCCGTTTCGGCCTCCCAAAGTGCTGGGATTACAGGCGTGAGCCACCTCACCTTGCCAAGGATGTTTTTTTTTTTAGAGCTGAGAGGGGAAAAAACTTCATAACCAACCAGCCAACCAAAGATCCACAACTTACAGGATAACGTGTGTGTATCTTCATTTTACACCGTGATCTTTGAAAACAAAATGTGTGCGTGCGTGTGTGTGTGTGATTAGTGCTTGCTGTTTTATTGTTTAAGACACTTTGACAGAGGGATTACGTGCAAAACATTACCAAAGCCAACACGAAAATTGCCGTTTTACCTTCACCTGTTTATAATTACTTTTCATGTTGAAAGGAGTCCATCCAACCTATTGCAGGTTTCTGTGTCACAAATGTTAGCAGCCAGTAAGGGTAATAAAACACCACCACCTCTCAAGCTACTCTCAAGGTAAATATTGGCCACCAGTAACTAAAATTGGGACATTATTCTACAAAAAGTTTTCAAACTCACATGGGAATTTATTTTCGTGGGCTTGTAATATGTGGAATTTTTGTAATACACTATAGAGAAAGAAGGCTAATCAAAAGGTAAGACTATTAATTTTTATAAATGCCTTTTAAAAGGTCTCGTTGTTAACAACTTGGACAGAACATCTTGGGTTGCTCTAGTTCTAAATTTCCTTGTGCCACATCTCTTTTCCATCATACCACTTATTGTCCAGGCCTGTAATTCCAGCACTTTTGGGTGCTGAGGTGGGAGGATGGCTGGAATCCAGGAGTTCAAGACCACCCTGGGCAACATAGCAAGGTCCTTTCTTTATTAAAAAAAAACTTTTTAAAGTGCGGTTGTGGTGATGTACACTTGTAGTCCCAGGTACTTGGGACGCCAGGGCAGAAAGATTGCTTCAGCCCAAAGTTTGAGGCTGCAGTGAGCTATCATGGTGATGGTGCCACTAAGCTCCAGCCTGGGTGACAGCGCAAAACAGTCTCAAAAAAAAAAAAAAAAAAAAAAAGAAAGAAAGAAAGTAAAAGAAACAGAATTGCCCGGGACATTTTTCCCCCTTCTGGGTATCTCCAATTCTTCTATCCCTGGTTCACCTCAGAGTATTGCAGTTCTGAGAACCAGTGCATTCTGGATTCATTGTAGAAGTTTGATTCTCTACTTGACTGTATGTCAGAAACACCAGAGAGCTTGAAAAATTCTGATACCTGGATCTTTCCCTACGAAACTCTGGTTCATTTGGCTTGGTATTCAGTGTGGGCATTAAGAATTTTTATCAGCTCCCTGTGTAGCTTTAAATGTGATTTTAAGCTGGTTAAAAACCACAGCTTTAAAATGATATGGTCTAGAGAGTGCACTGTTAGGTAAATACTTATTCCATAGGCATCAGGGTTAAGTTGATATGCAGAGATTATCTCTAAAGAGAGAGAGAGAAAAAAGGAAACAAATGAAAGTGGAATAAATGAAGGTGTAAATCAATAAGATTAATGGGGGGAGAGGATGTCCCTCTATGTATATGGTGTAAGTTCTGTCCTTTTAGCTCCACTTAAGCTAAAATTGTGGAGTAATGTACAAGACAAAAGTTATGATGTTAGCATCGAATTTAAGCCAGAATTAAAAATTGTCAGGCACTCTCAGCTTGTTTTCTAGATTCTGTATTGATCTCTGTGAAATTTAGTTTTCTCTTTGCCAAAGGATATTGTGAGGTTTACTGGATATTTTTTTACCTAGATGTATAGACCTACATACTTGGACATGGGTTTTCTATTAACTTAAGACTTTGAGTCAAATTTTAATAATAAGAATAGTTATATATATATATAGCCCTATGAGTTAGCATTTTTTTTAGTTCCAGCTGGAAAAAAAAAAAAAAAAAGAATTGTCCAGGACGTTTTTCTCCCTTCTAGTTATCCCCAGTTCTTCTATCCCTGTTTCACCTTTCAAAATTCATCTGAGAGTATCGCAGTTCTGAGAACCTCTGCACTCCTGGGGAATTCTAACTCTGTCGCTCAGGCTGGAGGGCAGAGGCACATTCACAGCTCACTGCAGCCTTGACCTTCTGGGCTCAAGATGAAGAAATTGGGGCTTAAGTTAAGTAATTGCCCAAATACGCATACTTAGTTAAGCAGTAGAGCAGGAAATTTGGCATTGGTCCATCCAGTGCCTGTTTTCTTAAACACAGTGCTTAAGCACAATATCCAATTGTCTCTCTGAGCTAATTGGAAATGTCTATGAAAGTTCAGAGCTACTGACAGCATAGCCTATGCATCTAAATGTCTGACTTGCACTGAATGACATGCTGACACAGTTTGAGTCCTAGAATAAAATTAGGTACAGGGACTCTTTTAAGGTTTTTTGATTAAATAAGACATGTAATATATCTTTGTAAAGGATACATCAGTGGGAGTATTTAAATATCATTATTATTACTATTACATGGCACGAATTGGAGAAATGGGTCATGTTTATCTTTTGAAAAATGTTTGCAGTAGAATCATTTTAAATGATCCTTTTAACTTCCAGAGGACATGGCTTTTGCATTCCCTTTATGGACCCCCTTCCCTACTAACCCCTCATCCCAAACACAGCAGCTTTCTAGTAATAAATATTTTTGAAGCAAATATTATTCAAGCACCCACATATGTCTGACATTGTTAGTTCATATCTCAGTAGAACATGCTAGCAGTTTCTATCTTTAAGAACATTTAAAGGGGTTCCCACTGGACAAATCTGGGACAAATTGAGCATCAAATAAATGATAATATTAGTGAATTGCAACTCATTTAATAATATGGGAATTTATGAGTACCAACTGATGTAGATTAAAAAATGAGTCAATGAAAAGTTTGATGGGGTACAAAGTATTGAAGATTCAAAGTAACTCTTCAGAATGTGCTTATTAATATCAAAGGAAAAAGAGTAACTTTATGGTGGAGAAGCTTGGCCGACAGCACTTTGATCAAATGATCAAAGACCAAAATCTGTTTAAAGGGAACAGATTAGCCATAAGCCTACCTTTATTGATTTATTTATTCATTCATTTAATTTTTGAGACAGGGTCTCATTCTGTCACTCAGGCTGGAGTACCAAGGCACACTCATGGCTCACTACAGCCTTGACTTCTGGGCTCAAGGGATCCTCCCACTTCAGCCTCCCACATGGCTGGGACTACAGGCATATGCCACCACACCAGGCTAATTGTTGTATTTTTTGTAGAGATGGATTTCACTGTGTTGCGTAGCCTGGCCTTGAACTCCTAAGCTCAAGCAATCTTCCTGCCTCGGCCTCCCAAAGTGTTGGGATTATAGGCGAGAGCTACTATGCCCAGCCTAAGCCTACCTTTAATAGTGATGTTTCTGATGCATGAACATTTTTACCCTAAGTTTATCATCACAAAAAAATTATATGTTTAAAACATTTGTTAAGAATTAGGGCAACTGACTCTTCCTCATCTTCTGTCACCCTCATTCTCTTCCCTCTTCCGTCTCATCTTTCCCTCGATAGATCCTATAGTTATTTGGTGGGGAAGAGCAAGGAGACATCCTTACTAAGTGGATGGAGCCCAAGGGGCTCAGATCAGGATATCTGAGGCTGACCCTGGTAAGGATGGCATCCAGGCAGGAGGGCAGCCTGGTGTGGAGTGTTAGGGCCTGAGCATGGTGAATGGGTGCTTCTGCAGGAGGCGGCTTGACACAGGGTCCCAGAGTTGATTTAACAAGGCTTTTGTGCAGGAGCAGCAGATGGGTGATATTTGATCCCAAACAAGATGTGGAGGAAAGCATGTAGGAGGGTCAGACCAGCGATGGAGGTTGGAGCCCGAGTGGGTAAGGAAGACATCTCTGTGGGGACAGGTGTGGCAGTGGCAATGAGAGTTTAGCAATATACAGGGTGATTGATCAAATAATTAAATCTAGGAACGATAATAGGATCTAGGTTTTTCACTAGAGAAGAATGAAATAAAGATAGGGAAAAAGTAGAATGAACCCTGTGGTGTTGGATTGCAGTTGGCAGTATCCCTGTGAACCCATGACATTAAATCCCTGTCTCTTTACCTATGTCTATATAGGCATATAGATTTAAACAAGTATATGTGGAAATATATGGATGAATACATATGCATGTCATATACATATATGTGTATGATATACATAATAAGTTGTATGTGTGTGTATACGAATGTGTGCACATGTATTCTTAGCAGTGATTTCCAGTAGTGATGAGTATACTTAGCCCTCAGATCTTGGATTCTAAATACCATTCTTTACTAATAGTAACCAAGGC